ACCCTATTTAATTTGATTGTTCATACAATATGTGTATATATAATTAATGCTACCAAATTATCCATACAACTTGTATCGGTGTAGTGGTTATAGTGCCCATATACTCCCATGAGGTCACATGTTTGAATCCTAATCTCAGTAGTTTTTTCTTTTTCTTTTTATTTTTATTTTTTTATCGCCACCTCAGCGCCATGCAAGCAGAAAATATTCACGTCAACAATAAAAGCCTAAAATTGGGCCCTGAGCATGAAGTTTCAAACATTAAGAAAAGTGGTGTATATTTTTGCCAACATTAAAAGTAGTGCATATAATTGCAATTTTTGAAAAGGTCATGGTTTTATTAGCAATTAAACTTATATGATTCATAGAAGCCACAAACTATATTAATTCCATATACAGTTTGAATAAAAATGCAAAAGATGTCGAATCAGACATAAAGAAACTTCTCTAATCTTACAACCTGAGTTTTTATTTTATTTACCTATCCTTATGAATTATGCTGCAAGCATAAATATTTTCATCAGTCTACTTCAAGTGCAAGTCCAAAAAACAGAATAATTATAAAATTATTTAGAACTTCTATATTATATGCAATGTATGTGTTACCACTCTTCGAAGCATGTAAATTTTATATCAAAATTTTGATTTTCGGTTATTTGTTCTTCTTTCTTTTCCGTAAGACTTTCAAATTATGGTTGCGATTGGTTGTTCTTTGTTCATTTTTTCACTTTATCGGATAACCGATAACCGAAACGATCCAACCGATTAATTTTCTGCTTAGAACCGAACCGAACCATAAATTTCGGTTCCGTTTTAGGTTTGAAGGTTGGATAAATCAAAATTTCGGTCTGCTCGGTTGGTTTCGACCGATTGTGCACCCCTAACGGAATTGTTGTTCCTGCATAAATAAAAATTAGCAATTACTAATTATCGAACAAAAGACTTATAAATAATAGTAATGATTATAAAGTACAATAATAAATAATATTTATAAATATAAATGATAATAAACAACACGAATTGAATCGCATCCTTCAGCGGTTAAATAATAATAATAATAATAATAATAATAATAATAATAATAATAATAATAATAATAATAATAATAAGGGTGTCTTTGTTAAAGGAATAATTTGAGTAAATTAACTTAAAGTGAGTTTTTTTTAGTTAACTAGGGTTAATTTAGAAAAAGATGTGTAGTTAGTTGTTAGTGAGATTTTGAGTTTATATTAAAATAATATTAAAAATAAAATAATTAAAATTGGTTTGATGAAAAGTAGGAGATGGATGATATGAAGTTATGGTTAGTTAAAATTATGTGAATAGATGAATAGTGAATTAAAATTGATATGATGTGTAAAAATGATTGGCTGTTATTATATAATGATTGATTGTGATTTTTTTAATTATATTGATAATATTAAGGATAGTGGAGTTGAGTTAAAGTTGAATTATATTTTGAGTAGAATTATTTGGTTTGAGTTTTTCCTTTAACAAACACACATAAAGAGTTCAGGAATGCAAGAATGAGGATATGTCACCTAAAAAAAGTAAAGTTAAAGCATTTCATCTGGAAATGCTTGAACAACTCATTATCAGTTCTATGCAATCTCTCAGCCAGGAAAATGGTCATTAATCAGGTTTGTAAACTCTGTGGTGAAAGATTGGAGACTCAAGAGCATTTGTTTTTCTCATGCAAGAGGGCAACCTTGATATGGAAATTATCTCTTGTCTCCTGGTAAGGCATTAATGACAACACAAACTCCTTTAAATCTTGGTGGATGAAACTGAGTGCTCTCCCCCATAATCCAGTTTCAGAAGATAGACTGCAATTATCCACATACATCTTGTGGTGGTTATAGAAAACGAGAAACTTATAGATTTTTGAAAAGGAGTTAAGGTCGGAAAAAGCAACAATGGATGTGGCTTGCAGAGAATGGGCTGAATTTACCAGTATTAGGGGGTAGTGGCTTTGATTATCTTTGGCTTTTGTATATATTTCTTTTGTTCTCCTTGGTAGGTTTTGTTAACAAACTAGGCCCTTGGAGTGCAGTGGTTTGTTAATTTTTCTCATGTAGCTCCTGGGTTGTCTTCTATTACCTAAGAGTTCTTAGTGGTTTGGATCCAGTCTGCGGGTTCAGAGCCTCTACTTCTACCGGAGATTGTTCAAAACTTCTTTGTTGTTTAGGAAGGGTTTCTTCCTCTGTATTGTTACATATTGATGGCAGTTGGCATCCGGTGTATTTTTGTCGAGTTATTTATATATTCCTGTCGTTTCGATAAAAAAAAGCAAACACACACTAATTGTATATATCGTGTTCAAATATTAAGAAGATTCACCTACGTTCCTATGTAACTGCCGCATTAATTTAATTTTAAAATATATAAAGAAATACTAATAAACAATAAATAATAAATGATAAATGAGCACCCGTATTTCAGTTGGTTGAATTAGAATACAATCTCTATCGTGTTCAGCAGTTAACAAGTACTCGCACTCTATCATCGTGCAGTAAGAAGTACTCCGCACTCTCTATCGAACATTTCACTATTACTAGATTTAATTAGATTTAATTTGTATGTTGTAGAAAATGAAATAAAAAATATTCTACAAACATGTTGTTATTTATTTATTTATTATGAAGAATGAAGAATATTTGTGTGTTACATGTTTTTAAAATGTTTTATATCTAATCACTACAATTAGATTTAATATTTATACACAAAAATTAAGATTATTTTTTTTTTTTTTTTATAAAATTTAGGCAAGAAGCATATGAATACTTATAATTATTTTAATTTATAAAGTATAAATTATGAATTATAGATAAATAATTTAAACTAAAATATTTAATAATATCAATATATTAATGTAATGCTAATAGTATACATCGTGTTCAGATATTAAGAAGATTCACATACGTCGTTCCTACGTGACTGCCGCATTTTTAGTTTAATTTAAAAATATATAAAGAAATACTAATAAACACTATAAATAATAAATCATAAGTGAACACCTGTATTTCAGTTGGTTGAATTGGATTACAGTCTCTATCGTGTTCAACAGTTAAGAAATACTCACACACTATCGTGTAGTTAAGGAGTACTCAATTGTAGTGGGATTAAGTATTGAGTATTATTCCATTGTTACCTATTCCAAAATCATTATGTTCACTGCCAAAGACACACAAAACCAAGCAAAAATAATAAAAAA